AAAAAAACCAACACACTCACCAAACTGTGCACTGACAGAAGGAGGAACTACATCAGCGTGCATGCAGTAAATCAACAGCTAGCCATTTAGATACTCACTGAGGTCTCTGCACTTGATGGTGCTGTAGTTGAAGGAGATACAGAGGTAGTCACATGCCTCCCTCAGCTCGGGAATGGAAACGCCGTCAGGGCAGCGGATTATCCCCGACTTGTAGTAATCCTGCCATTTTCAGCGGCGCGATCGCACGCATAAACGGACGGAGCGGTGGATGTTCATGCACGCACATGAGCAAGGGAGAAAAAACAAGGCGCCATTATTAATGCTGCTGCTGCTGAGAGAGAGAGAGCAAAAGAGAGGATGAGGAGTGGGGGGAGGGATGGAGAGTGAGCGAGCGAGCGGAGATGAAAGTAAAAAGCAACGTCACAGAGGAGAGAGAGAGGCTTAGAGGAGAAAGGGTGAAGGGTGATGAAAGTAAAAGCTTCCGACGTCAGCCTCCCTCCCTGCCCCACTTTCCATCCTCTGTCTGTCCCTGTGCACCCTCACCGTGGCTGTTACCCAGGAGACTTTCTACTGATGGGGAGAAAAAGAAAGAGAGGAGACACTCGGGGAACACGGGACAGAAAGTTCTGGCACATCTCATTTCCTGCTCTGCCTCATGTCTCCTTGTGTAATTCCCACAGACATGCAGGCTTTTGCCAAAAATCCATTATACCACGACCACAATCGAGCAGCTTTTCGCCCGTTGTTACTAATGCTCTCCCAAAGAGAACAACACAGAACATTTTCAGAATATTTCCTCTCCTCAGGCTGCTGTTGTGCTAATGATTATTTTGCTATGAACAGATGAAATCAGCATTAACGAACAAGCATGCTCACTGCGGTCTGTGCACTGGGTGCTCTTTCAGCTGGACAGTAAATAGTCCAGGAAAAAGAAGCAGCAGTATGCTGTAACACATACCAAACATTTCAACTGTCTTCATATCTGTGCATAACAGCCTTTACATTATCTCACATCAGTTCCTCTTTCCGTCGTACTCTCAGATAAAAACATGCAGCGTGACACCTGCAGTTTTTTCCCCTCTGTAAAAAGCTCCACTAACATAAAAGTTTCCTTCGCGGCCTTACAAGACACTTTTACACGATCCAGCAAACCAGACAGTCCTGCAGCCTCTGGGTCAGATTCACCTTTTAAAGCTGGCCAAGTTTCTTTCAGAAG